CAATGGGTGTCATTATGAAATTTTCATACATATATGTTTTATCATATTCACACATTACCCTCTGGAAAGAATTTCCACTGGCATGAACCCTTTCCTCTTTCCAATACTTCTTACTTTCACATCTTTTTTTTTTTTTTATGATGCCCTGGGTTTCATTATGGTTGTTTATGGGAGCATCCATGATGGATTGTTTACAGGAGTATGGACATCTTATCAGTGACTACAGTACTGAAGAACATGCCTGATTCCCCTAACAGATGTAAATCCCCAGGCAGAAGTGGGGACATTGGTAGACTTAACTTTATACAGGTCTTGTAGAGGCAATCACAACTCTTATGAACTCAAGGGTGTAACATTCATAACATGCCCACAAGTCAGCATTCTACATGCTCCAATTGCTTTGGCTTACTTACTTTCCACCTGTTATTTCCTTAGCCTTGAAAGTGATACAGGATGAGCATTAATCACTTATTCTCATCACTTGGACCAGCTTTGAGTCTTTGCAGTAACAACTGCCTATTGCAAAAAGAAGCATCTCTGACCAAAGCTGGCAGAAGCATTAATTTACAGGTGTAAATTTAGTTATTTATAAAGAAGACATGGTTTCCTGATTTCATTAAAACTTTGAAAAGGAACTGAGGAATGGAGATGTAATTGATTTGGTATACTTCATGTTTAGCATAAATGAAGCCCTGGGTTCTATCCTTAGGTTCACAGAAAGGTCAGTAGTGTAAAGTATTCTAGCATTTGGGAAGCAGAAGCAGGTGGATCTCTGAGTTTGTGGCCAGCCTTGTCTACTTAGTAATTTCTGGTCAAGGGAAACATAGTGAGACCTGTACTCAAAAACAAAAACAAAAAAGTTTAAGGCCAATCTTGCCTGAGCATGTTTCAACATTCAGTTCATGCACACTTCTAATTGATATGTCCTGTTAGCCTAATCTACAAAAAATTTCCTAACAACTTCTGACTCACATTGGGCTACAGTATGCTTTAACTGATGTGAATATAGTTACTGCTGAGTTCTTCCACATTTGGTATGAAATACCAAATAATTTTTCATCCTTTGAATGTTTTTCTTCACCAGTGAAGTGAGTTTATGCAAACAAAAAGTGAGATGGGATTTTCAAATCCAGTTTGCCAGGGTGCATCATTTAATTGCAAAGTTAAGAGGATTTACATTGATGCTTGTTATTGAAAAACA